TACATATATATATATATATATGTAATAAATATTTAGTTCCGCAATATATATGTATATGTATATACAGGGTGGGGCAAAAGTATCGGACCGGTAAAATATCTCGAAAAATATAAGTTTTACAAAAAACTGTTTCAGATCAGAAGGCAAATTAAAAGCATTTCGTCTATGAATAGCTATTTCTAGTTTACCAGCATTTTCTTCTCCATCAATATGAGCCATTGTTCTTAAAGAAAATCTTCCATTACAGATGTAACAAAAGAAATTTTGGTTTGCCATTTTATACTAACAGAAATATCACTTTATTTTGATTGTAAGTACCTGTGAAAACAACTGATTGTGAGTAGCCGTGAAAACAACTGATTGTGAGTAGCCGTGAAAACAACTGATTTTTTACTTTGGCAACGCCACCCAAAATCAATCCGATAAAATCAGTAAATACAATAAATTTTTTTAAGATCTGAAATAGTTTTTTGTAAAACTTATATTTTTCGAGATATTTCACCGGTCCGATACTTTTGCCCCACCCTGTATATACATATACATATATATTGCGGAACTAAATATTTATTACATATATATATATATATATATATATATATATGTAAAAATCGATTTTTATTTATTTCGTGAATAAATATCAATGTATCACTTATATTTATAACATACGTCTTACTACTGCGGATGACCATATTTCATTACTTTGACCCTTTATATCTTGGGAAATATTGGCTTTTGGGACTTGGTGCAATGATAACTTTTTATCAACATGGCGAAAACTATAACATAGTGAAATTTCAGCCAATTTGACCGAAAACCATTTTTCATAGGTTTTGTGCGGGGTCCTTTCTTATATATATGTAACTGTTGAATTTCATTTTATATTATTTGACATTTTATATCATTTGATATTATTTGTGATTTTACAAGATAAAACATGTAAAACATGATAAATTACTTTCTTGGTGTTTAGTACGATTTTTCAGCAAAAATTTAAAATTAATGTTTTTTCTCAAAAAAGATTTCTCAATATAAAATTACATATACGCCAAAAGTAATAAAATTATATTAAAAATAATAATTATATGTCTGAAGAAATGACAAATTTAGATGTAAAATTTGAAGTGAATGGTTTAATAATATCAGAAATGAATATATTTACACATAAATAATAATTGTTACATCTTTCATTTAAAGTTACCGTTTAAAATAAGAACACAGATGTCATTTAACTGCATTTTTTTGTCTTTCTAATTATTAATAACGACATATTTGTAGTTATATAAATAATATTACATAAATTTCATTAATTATTTTATTAGCAGAATTTATATAATGTAATGGCATTTTTAATAATAAATATTCAATTTCAATGATAATATTTATATGTTTTTATTTATACATAACATATGTTTTTGAAGAATTATGTTGACAACTAGAAAGTTTGTACTAATATATTATACAAAATAGTATAATCGTTTAAGTCGTCATTGTCCGAAGCATGTTTAAATATACCATTGAAGTCTTCATCACCTGAAATGTCACGTGACCACATATTAGGCACAGACATATTATGTCATGTGTAATACGAAAAACAATATACATATTTATATACTTACATTACCAAAAGTTGCAATTGAAAGATGGATCAGTTTTCCTGCTGTTAATTTAATCGCCATGCTTGATCGGGAAATAATCAATATCAAACCAAGAGCTGTCTTATGGGGCAAACGGTACCATTCAGTCATGTAGGCTGTTTCGCCTATTTGTTTGCACTGTTAAACCATTTATTTTACAACATAAAAAAGTTCTAACAGTTAAATATTTTGTTTCATAAATTTATAAATGTACTTTGACAATGCCATGCCATAATTAATTGCTGTACAATAATTTATTTTCTTCAAGTGATTGAAAACTTAAGGCTACTTTTATTCTTAATGCGCTTTATTCATTTCAGTACGTTGTGAACATACTACATGTAGACACACACCTATCATGACCATATTCATTACAAAAACTGCCGGAAATAACTAAGAAGAATGAGGAAGGTAACTGCTTACACTTGCTGGAAAACATATACGTCGAAGGATTGTTATGAGAGCTGCAGATTTTGGGTCTACAACGTATTGAGATGGACGAGATACACCAAGAATATAATACGTCAGATTATTTTAGGATGGATAATCGTTTTTTACCTGTTCAGTAAGTACTTCACCGATGTAACAAAATATAAAAATATTGAATGACATGGACATGTATATGATTATACAAGCGATTGATGTTTGTTTTTCCGTTACACTCCACCCCTGGAAAATTTCATATATTTTGTTTACTTTAAAAAATATAGAGAAGATATAATTATAGTTCCCGATGTGAAATTGGTTAATAATATAATATCAACGGAACGCTCTTTTAGACTCTTTTTTAACTCTTGACGAAAATCACGGGATGCCAGATTACTTTAGTTACATATTCACCTTTTTTAATTCATTACCGTACCGTAATGGTGTAATATCCGAGCATACACATATTAAACGTACATCCTAGCAACTCCACGAAACATATTTGATTCAAGAGCGCCTCCATACGCGTGACGAAACTATAATAGCGTAAATTATAATTGTATTAATACAAATATACCTCATTTTCTCTTGAGGTTGAATGATATTTTTTAAATGTAATGATGTGTATTGTATTTAAAGTTGTACGCACAGTTGTACAGAGTATTAACAATTTAATCAAATATATAATTTGAAGTTAATATACAAAATAGAAAATACATAACTTAATGTACAGAGTGTTCCAAATTTTCCTCCGCAATTTTTGTATGAACGTAAAACGAATTAATGCGATATATTAATTAAACAAAATTTGTGCATTATCAGGCACAATCATGTCGCACAACAGTTTTTTAATAATCTGCGTGATTATTTATAAAATGAAAAAGCCTCTTTTTTTTTGTTTTTGACCTACAAGTACACAACAGCATACATCGCCATTATAGCTCATATATCATATCATGCGTGACAATTCAAGAAACTTCTTTAATTAATAACTCAACTATTATTACGAATATCGCAAAACGATATGGAACTTTTATGTTCACCTCAATCTATTTTATGTTCCCACAAAAATTACGAAAAAGACATTGCAGAAAAGGAACATCCATTGCAGAACTGGGACACTCTGTATATATAAAATATAAAATTAGGTTTTAAAATTAAACATATTATTGTGTGTGAGGTTTGTATTATATGGAAATACTGATAATCAATGACAAAATAAATTAATTATTAATGTATATTAAAAGTATTAAAATAGAAATGTATATTTTTACTTTTATATTACAGAAAAACATTAGTGAACATTTTTTATTCATATGTTAACAGCATACTTTAGTACTCTTAAATGGTGATCTACGATTATTGCGAGTCGACGTTGAACCGTGTCAAACTGTTTCTGATCATCCACCAAGCGGTCTAACCATCTCATCAGCACATTCAATTGACCGCATGCATGCATTGCGAATACTGCTGCGAGACTACAAGCGCTAACTGTCACGGAATTGACGACAATGCTGGATATAAGTTGTAATACTAGCGCGATTTCGCCTTCTGGACTGTATCTAATATCCACAAATTTGCTGTAAGAGGGACACGGTAACAAATGTACCGTCACACTTCTGTTGCCAATATAGGCGATTGTTGGCGTAATAGCTTGCAGCAGGCTATGAGAAAATACGCCGCTATGCATAAAAACCGCACACAAACCAGCGACGAACCTACCAAACTTGGCGTATTTTAGCATTATTTGTCGGTCTTCGATTTCCGTCACTGTTCGCCAATCAGTTTTTATATGCTGCATGCAACGATGTATTTCGCGACTGCGAAACAACAACGAGAAGTAATTCATGCCACCCATGCACCAATGGCTCAATGGCCCCACGGCTTTCAATTTCATATTAACATCAGTCTCCTCGAACAGAATATTCAAGATGCACGGCACGACCGTGAAGGCTATCAGGGAATAGCAAATAAATATTTGTATCGTCGACCGCACTTTTTCTCCGATTGTTGTCGTGGTTGAGCTCGGCCAGGCACCCACTGACATCAGGAACCAACGATTCAACTGAAGACTATAATCACTCGCATCCTGCTGCGAGACCGCGGGTTGCGTACGTTTGCTGGTGACCATGATCACTCGAAGCAAGTGCAAATGCTACTGAATGGATTATTAGACGCCGCGTGCAGACAGGAAGTGGCGCTTGCGCCTACGAGAAGTCTGCGCTTCTTGGTAGGTAATAATAGAATATTTTTTGTGTGCGCTTGGTAAGTCGATCGATAGTCATACTTCATAGAGTGTGTTACAATGTATTCGTGAGGGATGTGAGTTGTCTGGTAAGAGGAGTGACATTGATGATTATACACTAGTGAATATATGTTTATCTGTCCCGAATTGCGGTATGTGAAATTTTTTATATTTATTCTATGTTCATATTTAGATACCTAAAAATTGTGAATTTCATCATTTCTCGATAGACAGATGTGTGTAAACTTTATAGCACCTTTAAGGTATTTTGAATCACGTTATATGATAACATTTATTTTTCTGATTATTAAGATTGCAATTATATTTACGAACTACAATGATGAAATAATAATGCATATAGAGTTAGTAAAATTTACTCAGTACAATTTGTCAATAAATGTATTTAAAATTTAGCATTAATATATTTATATATCAATATAAATATTCGCTTTCGACAAATTTACGTAAAGTGACTATTCTTTTATTCGATATAGAAAGTAAATAAATTTGAAGTATATTTATAACAAATATAATGCGACATTATTATAATGAAAAATTTAAGTCACAGCATTCCATAAACTTGCTCAGGTAAATCTGTTTAGCTCTCTATATATACACAAAGTTTAATTCTCTATATATAATTCTCTATATATGCACTACTCTCTATATATACAAAGTTTAACTCTCTCTCTCTCTCTCTCTCTCTCTCTCTCTCTCTCTCTCTCTATATATATATATATATATATATATATATATATATATATATATATAAAGTTACTATAAATTGGACAAAAATTAATGACCACATAGTGTAATCGTCATGGAAGTCTATCGAGGTTTTTAACTTCAAAACATTATAATTCTTTCGAATCCCGATTTCACAGGATATAATGCATCCAGCTACTTTCAACTTTCAATATGTTCTCGAAAAGTGGATATTTTTTAATATGTATATTTTTTAAATTTGTACACCTAAATATCAGAAATATGTCTATATCATTACGACTAATGCTTTATAAAAAAAGTTAATTTTGCCAAAACATTAATTTTCCTTTAATATATTTAAAGTTAATTTTTAATTCATTTTAAATAAGTGGAGAAACATCATTTAATTTTATTTTTCTTGTGTTTCTCAGTATTAATAACGACATATTCGTGGTTATATAAAAATGATATAATTCTCATTTATTATGTTAGCAAAATTTATATAACGTAATAGCGTTTTTAATTATGAATATTCCACTTCAATGATAATATCTATATATTTTTATTTAAATACAATATATATATTTAAATACAATATATATTTCTAAAGAATTATGACAACTAGAAAGTTTGTACTAATATTTTATATAAAATAGTGTAATTGTTTAAGTCGTCATTGTCCGAAGCATGTTTAAATATACCATTGAGGTCTTCATCACCTGGAATGTCACGTGATCATATATTAGGTACAAACATTATATTAGATTCATGTAGTACGACAAGCAGAATACATATTTATACACTCACATCACCGAAAGTGGCAATAGAAAGATGGACCAATTTTCCTGCGGTTAATTTAATCACCATACTTGATCGGGAAATAATCAATATCAAACCAAGAGCCGTTTTATGGGGCAAACGGTACCATTCAGTCATGTAGGCTGTTTCGCCTATTTGTTTACACTGTTAAATTTATTTTACAACATAGAAATTTTTAACAGTTAAATATTTTGTTTCATAATTTTATGAATGTATTTTCACAATGCTATGCCATAATTTATTGCTGCACAATAATTTATTTTCGTGATTTTTATAAGCTACCCAAATAACTGAACATTTGAGGCGTTACATTCATTTTTAATGCGCATTGTTCATTTCAGTATGCTGTAAACGTACCACATGTATAGACACACATCATGTCTATACTCGCAATAAAAGCCGGAAATAACTAAGAAGAATGAGGAAGATAATTGCTTACAAATATAGGAAAATATATATACATCGGAAGATTGCTACGGGAGCTGCAGATTTTGGATCTACGACGTACTGAAGTGAACGAGATACACCAAGAATGTAATACGTCAAATTATTTTTGGATAAATAGTCGTTTTTTACCTGTTCAGTAAGTACTTCACCGATGTAACAAAATATAAAAATGTTGAAAGACATGGACACGTATATAATCATATAAGCGATTGATGTTTGTTTTTCTATTACATTCCATCCCTGAAAAATTCCATACATTTTTCATTTTGAAAAATAGAGAAGATGTAATAATAGTTTAAAATGTGAGATTGGTTAATAATATAATATCAACGTTTGTTCTTTTAGGCAGTTTTTTGAGTCTTCACAGGATGCCAGATTGCTTCAGTTACATATTCACCTTTTTAATTCATTAGCGTACCGTAATGGTGTAATATCCGAGCATACATAAGTTAAACGTACATCCTAACAACTCCACGAAACATATTTGATTCAAGAGCGCCTCCATACGTGCTACGAAACTATAATAGCGTAAATTATAATCGTGTTATTATAAATATCATTCATTTTCTCTTGAGATTGAATTGTATTCTTTAAACTGTGATGATTTGTATTAAAAGTTACACGCAAAACATAAACAATTTAATCGAATATATAATTTAAAGTAAATACACAAAAAATGGAAAACATAATTTTATATATATATATAATATAATATAATAATACACACACATACACACACACACACACACACACACACATTTATAATATAATATAAAATTAGATTTTTAAATTAAACATATTATTGAAGCTTATATTATATAGAAATACTGATTCAATAAAAAGATAAATTAATTAATAACGTAAATTAAAGATAATAGAAATATAAATAGAAATAGAAATATATTTTAACTTTTATGTTATAGAAAAATATCAATGAGATTTTTTGTTAGCAGCATACCGTAGTACTCTTAAATGGTGTTCCACAATTATTGCCAATCGACGTTGAACCGTGTCAAACTGTTTTTGATCATACACCAAGCGATCCAACCATCTCATCAGCACACTCAATTGACCGCACGCATGCATCGCAAATACTGCCGCGAGACTACAAGCGCTAACTGTCACGGAATTGACAACGATGCTAGATATGAGTTGCAATACTAACGCGATTTCGCCTTCTGGACTATATCTAATATCCACAAATTTGCTGTAAGAGGGACATGGTAGCACATGTACCATCACACTTTTGTTGCCAATATAGGCAATCGTTGGCGTGATACCTTGCAGAAGGCTATGGGAGAATACGCCGCTGTGCATAAAAACTGCACACAAACCAGCGACAAACCTGCCAAACTTGGCGTATTTTAGCATTACTTGTCGGTCTTCGAATTCCGTCACTGTTCGCCAATCAGTTTTCATATGCTGCATGCAACGATGTATTTCGCGACTACGAAACAATAACGAAAAGTAATTCATGCCACCCATGCACCAATGACTCAATGGCCCCACGGCTTTCAATTTCATATGAACGTCGGTCTCCTCGAACAGAATGTTCAAGATGCACGGCACAACTGCAAAGGCTATCAGGGAATAGCAAATAAATATTTGTATCGTTGACCGCACTTTTTCTCCGACTGTTGTAGTGGCTGATCTCGGCCAAGCACCTACTGACTTCAGGAACCAACGATTCAACTGAAGACTATAATCACTCGCATCCTGCTGCGAGACCGCGGGTTGTACACGTTTGCCAGTGACCATGATCACTCGACGCAAGTGCAAATGCTACTGAATGGATTATTAGACGCTGCGTGCAGACAGGAAATGGCGCTTGCGCCTACGAGAGGTCTATGTTTCTTGATAGGTAATAATAGGATATTTTTTGTATGCGCTTGGTGAGTCGATCAATAGTCATATCTCATATAGTGTGTTATATTGAGAGATGTGAGTTGTCTGGCAAGGAAAGTGACTTTGATGATTATACACTACCGATTAAGTGTTTATCTATCTTGGTTTGTGGTACATGAAATTTTTTTTAAATTATTCTACATTCATGTCTAAATATCTAAAAATGATAAATCTGATATGATATTCTCTGATAGACAAACTGATACGTAAATTTTACAATAACTTTTAATCTTGAGTTACGAAATGTAGTAACATATATTTTCTTATGACTGTTTAAATTGCAATGATATTGCAATGATGAA